TCTTACAAATGTTGCCATTATTTCTTGCTCTAAGAGCGTTTTGTTTGTTGTTGCCTTTATTCTTTTTTTTTTCGTTTCTCTATTCTTTTTCCTCTTACCCACAAGTTGTCACAGAAAAGGTATTGCAATTCTAGTGTTTGCATGGGGCCTGGTGAAATTGCCATTCGCTTTCTACGACGCTGCGGCATTCTCCAGGATTATGTGTGGATATTTACTCCCAACCGTATATATTTTTCCTAGGGTCGATCAAATTGCGAACTCTCCACGTTAATTTACCNAGTGAGTGGACACACCTCATATTGCAAAGAATTCTCAGTGTGTTTCTGCATGCGAATTCCAAACATTAATAATACAGAAAAACAACACAAACAACAACAAAGGAAGAGATTTGGTACAGGGTTAAGAGGGAAAATGAAAAAAATAATACTGCAACATTACGAAAATAGTTTGTGACCAATATTATTTTTATGGTTATTTCTTCTTATGGTTTCTGCTGTAGCGGAACTCGTTTTATTATTATTATTGTTGGTTATTCACACAAATGGAGGATGGTTGGAGAATGTTGGATAGGATACCCTTTCTAGTGATCTACACTCATCGTCATTGATATGGATTTTAATGTGCGAGTAAATCATTAGAATTCTCTTGACTCTGACGGTATGCTTTTGACCGCGTATACGTGTCCACACGCTCTGTTGGGCACTACCTTGTTCAAGTTATAACTTTGCACAGAGTGGGAAGAATTCCTGCGTTGTTTGGAATTGCGTTTCGCACAACGGTCCACGCACACACACATAAAAAAAAAAGAAAACAATTCCATTCAAACAGTCCAAACGATTCTCTATCAATATTCTGTCGCACCTCGTCCCGTTCTTTTCCCTACTTGATGGGGGCGCCGTGTCCAAGTTCAAATTTTAAAGTGGGGGTCTCTGGCGCCCATTTGTTTCCGATAAAATAAAACAAAAAAAAAGGGAGAATTCATTTGCGCAGACGCATCCGTTACACACCTGGGGTCTCACCCAAATGATTGCGCTGCCCTCTGTGCCCACCCCCTTGGGTTACACTCTTTGTTTGCGGTAAGGGATAACTGTTTAGAAATGAATCTTGCTCCCATTGCTGCGGAAATTTTGCGAGATGAACGGTGACAGGGGCGTTGTTCCTCACCCAAAGGGGTTCCCAATTACAGCATTTCGCGTTCGCGGCATCTCGTTTGCGCAATCTTGATCCAGCATGGCGTTGTGCGCAAGTGGAAAATCTCACCGGATATACCTGATAATGGAAGGTGCCGGAGGGTAAATACTGCAATGTCCGAAGGTTTAAAAAGGAAAAAAAGAAAAGGAACGGACATCCTCATCGCAATTCCCAAACGGCAAAGGAACTTCCCAACGACACGCGTGATGGGCAGCGGGCTTTCCCACGAGCGTGGCTCTGGGGAACAAGAGTGTCAGAGGGGGATTGTTTTCTTTTGAGGGTGGTGTGGATTTTGAGGGGGAAAATTTGCAGAGGGAAACATTTGTTGTAATTTATTTGTTTTATATATAAACTCTGAAAGGGTAAGCGGATATGATCGCATTTAGTTTACCGCAACGCTGATGTCCATCTCTTGCTCTCATGTTTTTTCTGTATTTTTACACAAACTGATAGTCTAAGTGTTTGCTTCGGTTGTTTCTCGTTTTTGATTCTATCGAGATCGTTCTTTTCGCGCCCTCCCACCGCATCCCTGTAGATTTTTTTATTTTATTTTGTTTTTGCTTTTCCATCTAGAGAACCGGCA